CTAATATTTGACTATTTTAAAGAAAGTATTTTTCTACAGTACATTGCCAGTGGTGGCGGTACATATATAAAAATTGATATAGTTCAAAATGTTTGCATTACTACATGTAAGTACATGTAACAGATGGAGGTTCAGCTTAAAACGTTGAGACAATGCACCCCCCAAAATCAACTGGCACCGATAAATCGACCGATAATGTATCAGTATATTTGGAAAAGGTGGAAATATTGCAAATTAATGAAAGTCTAATAAGTGCCTTTACTATGATGAGTCCCCACTCGGGAAAGTTTATCATTAAGAATATTTGTTTTTGAATGTGTGTGTGTGTGTGTGTGTGGGGGGGGGGGGGGGGTCGGAGACGCTCTACTTCCAAGTGGGCCTAGGCTATATGGCGTATCCGGCTTTTGATGTCGGGTGGGGGGGGGAGAGAGGGGGGTAACCGCACTCGCACATCCGCGCCGAAATGTGGACCAGTTCTTTTCTCCGGACACTTGGCCTCCGTATGGGCTCCGTGCTCCAACACACAAGAGGACGCGTGTTACCACTTTTGAGAGCACCATGGACGTACGGGACCATTGTCTCCGTATGGACGGGACACAGCATGGACGGGACACAGCATGTGCGTACTGTACTGTACTGGTTCGCGCGCAAAGTTCCACACCACTTCCAGAATGTGCCAAGCTATTAGCCGCAGCGTCTACGCATGATCGTCAGGCAACGTCGGCGAACGCATACGTTCAATTTAACTTGCAATGGTCTCCTAGCAGTGGCGTAGCCAGGAATTTTTCAGTGGGGGGGGGGGGGGGGGGGGGGGGCGGTGCTGGGGGGGGGGGCTGGAACATTTCATGGGGGGGGGGCGTCATGAAGGGGCGTCAATCGCTTTTCAAAAGTGGAGGGGGGGGGGGGGGGCGAAGCCCTTACGGAGTGGGGTTCGGGGCCCGCTTAAGGGCTCCGAAAAAAAAATGATTCTAGATGTTCGGTGGTGTGATCTGAAGCAATTTCTTACCACTTTTCTCCATGCTTTAACTAATATTTTCTTAGCAAAAGATAATTATTTGAACATCGTTTTTGAGGTTGGAGTCATTGAATCAGGCGTGGGGTTCGGGGCCCGCTTAAGGGCCCCTAAAAAAATTGGATTCTCGATGCTCTGTGGTGTGATCTGAGGCAATTTCTTACCACTTTAACCAATAATTATCTTAGCACAAAAGATAATAATTTAAAAATAATTTTCGAGGTTTTCTCAGGCAAAGGCATAAGAAAAATTTTTGAACATTGTTTTCGGGGTTGGAGTCATTGAATCAGCTATCAGAATTCTGAGCTTCAGGCGTGGGGTTCGGGGCCTGCTGAAGGGCCCCAAAAAATTTTGGATTCTAAATGCTCTGTGGTGCTATCTGAGGCAATTTCTGACCACTTTAACCAATATTTTGTAAGCAAAAGATACATTGTAGTACATAATAGGGCCCTGTAAATGAGACACGAGTTCAAAAATCTGGGGGGGGGGGGGACATTTGATATTGTGTCCCCCACCCTTCAAAAAGTGGGGGGGGGGAGATATGTCCCCTGCCCCCCCCCCCCCCCCCCCCCCCAGGATTGAAGCCCATGGCGTCATGTAGATCAATGATATTTTTTTTAGAAACTCAAAATCTCAGTGGGGGGGGGGGGGGCAACTGGGGGGCGACAAGGTTTCATGGGGGGGGGGTCCCCCCACGCCCCCGGTGTCTACGCCACTGTCTTCTAGACTATTCCCTCCCCCAATAACTTTGGATCATTTAAAATACGCAGTGGATGGACAGTGAACCAGTCTAGGCCCTCCCCCAACTCTCCGTTTCTGGCCGTTGAAGGGGCACTTGTGCACGGAGCCCATAGCTCCATGGAAAAATCAAAAACTTGGGGGGAGGGGGTTAATACCGAAAACAAAACTCATCAGAACCTGAACTTTAACACTTGATACGAATATACACGAGCTAAGTCGAACAGAATTAATTCAATAATGGCACTATAGGTTTGCTATTATAATCCTGAACCAGCCTAGTAATTGGTCAGGGAAGCATCACAAAAGGTCCTTAGCAAAGGACCCATGACATGCGTAAACAAAATACCACGTATGCTTCTCCGAAGTTTAAAGATTGTTTCCTTGGTCATCCTTAAAGAGGGTCCAAAATTACAGACATTATAGAAATTTTGCTGCAGGAAAACGGAATGCTATTTTCTTGCTGGCAGCAAAATTTCCTGAAAAAGTTTTTTTTCATTCCGTATTAAAATAAACAGACCTTTACACATGAGTTTGGACATGTGTAGACGATTGTGGGTGAAATATCAATATGTACTAAGATGTACTATATTGTAGCTGTTTGGGCCGATGTGGTCGATTATTATCACGCTAATTAGCATAATTAGTATTTGCATTTGCAAGTCCGTGAAATTACACCAAAAATACGGAATATTTCACTTTACGGAGTCCGTAAATTTTCGGGCATTTTTAACAGTGAATATTCTCGACCCGGTGACTAAAGAGGGTGACAAAACTTTAAAATTGAATGGTAAATGACTAAAGTGGTTTGCTGTAAAGCATGAGAAATTGTTCTCGGACGAAATTGTATGTTTGAGTTGGTGAATTTGAATGAAATTTTTTTTAAATAGCCGGGAAAACCTATAGTATCTTAGAACACAACATTGCCAAGGCCTTTCTGGTAATATTTTTTCTCTCATCAATTCGTCACCGACACCACGAAGTAACACCCATCTATATACCAGTAAAAACTAGCAATCGGAGAAAACGGCAACTAAAGTTGAACGCCTTCTAAAACAACACTTATCGTCAAAACGACAGAGTATTTTCAGTTGGGTTTCTCGTTGTGGACACTTGATGAATTGAATTTATTAAATCTGCTGTTTTTCACTCGTTTGTGTATTAAATAAACAAGAAATAAGAGAAAAAAGATGAGTGTTAGTTCGTGAAACCGAAAAAGCTGCGAAACTGTAAATTTTCGTTTCCACGAAGTAACACTCTTCAATGTATTTAACACGAGGAAAGTGCAACTTCAGGTCAGCGCGCGCGCGCTCATACAACTTGTTACAAGAAGAGTGTTACTTCGTGAAAATGTTTTTGCTCACTTATGAGCAGAGTGCGCGCCATGCATTGCAATGGAAAATGGAACTTGAGTGTTACTTCGTGAAAACAAAAATTGTCACTTTTGCGCAAAAGTTGCCATGGATACTTAGCGTAATTATTAAAGTAAAGCTCTTGAAGCTTTGAAACTTCGTGCAATGGTGAGCCTTGATGAATATTGTTTAAAAATCCAAAAAACTGAAAATCGAAAAAAATATGCTTTAACACGGTAGAGTGTTACTTCGTGGTGTCGGTGACGAATTGGATCATAAAGTAAGCCTCGTTCATTTATAAATAATGCAGTAAATCAGGGAAAATACACAAAAAAGGCACAACCATTAATTGCTACATGTAGCTTTCTGTCTTGTCTTCCCGCCCAAATTTCACTTTGGCAGCGATGAAATTAAAAAAAATAAGTCCAATTATCCATGACATTTCAATTGTAACCCATCTGATACGCACCAATGGCGGCGATCTTTATTTAGGATTTGGAGGGCACAGTGGCGTCGACAGACGAATCTTGAAGGGGGGGGGGGGAGGGAGGGAGGGAGGGGAGATTGCCATGCAGGCATAATAATGGTTCGAGCTTAGTGGTAGCCCGCTAGCCAAATGCGAGTAAATACAGCGGCGGGCTAGTCAAAGCACTGGTTATACATTATAATAATTCGTTTGTCTTGTTAATGACTTTTACTTTTTAGAGAGATATTTCAAGGGGTAATTTATTTAAATTATGAATATAGTTTAATGTTTGTAATGTAAAGTTTAATGTATTTTAATGTTTTTGAGCACGAGAACCGCGACACTTTCTATTGTGTACCATTGTATATAAATAGCAATAAACCAAATCAATAAAACCAATAAAAAAAATACAAACAGCACCAATGAACAAATGTTGTTTCTCGCACGTCCGCAAAATATGTTGCACTGGTGAAAAGTGCGGCAGGATTCATGACTAGCACCCAACAGCTCGATTTTTTAAAGTAAAAAAATGTTGACTTCCCTTAAAGGATGGTTGTGTCGATGTTGTATCCTACTTTTAAATGCTCTTTCCACTTTTGTATCCCAACTGTGCGCATTCCAGAACGTTAAAAAAGGAAATAATCTGATACCGACGCGCATTAATTCAGCTTGTTTTATGTCATTGTGCCGACGAATTTTGCGCCGAAATAGCTAGCGTGTAAATTTAAAAGAAAAAAGAACATGGCCTCAGGCTGGCTCTGCGTTTTGTAGAGCGTATACTGCCAAACAAAAACAAAAACCGAAAAAAACCGAAAACGACATAGTTCTCGTTTAAGCGACTTATCCGGTATCTCGTTTCAGCGACTTGTTATCTCGTTTAAACTGCTTATTTATCTCGTTTTAAACGCTTAATTATCTCGTTCAAAAAAGTTATTTATCTGGTTTAAACGACTTATTTATCCCTATGAATGACTTATTTATCTCCCGTTTAAACGAGCCTAGGCACACTATTAAGTGTTCCCAATCTGCCATCTCGCATCTCGCATCTCGTATCTGGTGTGGATGACCTGACCTTTGTGTTGCGTGTTGTAATATGCATATTTGGAACAATTATCAACCCTGTTAGTGTTACATACAGAGTTTTGCATTAATTCATCGTTTCACGGACGCACGAGTGAAACATGATGATCACTACTTGAAACACTTTGTCTGATTGAGCTACAGAGTCAAAGTACCAATCAAAATCTACAAACATACCAAGTTTCATGACTCATTTCCAAGAACAGGAGAAGGTGGAATCCGCGCCCGGCCGTGATGTCTACACAATAAAATGATTGCGATTGATTTAATGAACCACGCCCACCCTGATCGATTTATTTTCCCACTACCTCTGACAGATGTTTTGGAGTGCTCTGAGGTGGGACCCTTTGGGATGGAAGATGGACGCATCCCAGACGCAAGCATCACAGCGTCGTCAGTGTGGAGTAACCATGCCGATTACGGACCCACCAGGGCTCGGCTTAACCTTCGAGGTAACAACATTTTGGTTCAACAATTACACGGGATGAAGAATAAGACAACCAACTCAGACAAAAACAATTCGTCAAAAATGACTATAAAATGTCAAACGCTTAAGACTCTCCTCTGAGGGGTGGTGCTTCAAAGTGAAGTCAATTTTGCTGAATTGTATAACTACACATTTTGTGGTCAGGAACTTTCACAGGTTTCACAAGTCGCTCATTCCTCAATGGCTGACTGTCAAATAGAGATGCTAAGCACAACATACAGCCTGCCCCCCCCCCAAAAAAAAAAATGCTGCAAGCAGAAACGGGCACTATGTCCTTGGAATATTGAAAAATGTGTCATGAAGCTTATATAATGTTACACCTGAAATATTAAACTTTCCAATGCTATTTGTTAATATCCATTTTGCTTTTGCTAAACCAAAGATATGGTCCGTTGAACACAAACACTCAAACTTGTGCCACTTTCCGTAAGTTGATACTATAAACAGAAATTACCAGTATTATACACATGTATGATCGTGCAGAAATACAATTAGTAATGAATAGGTGAAGAAACACCTTTTTTTCATATTATAATGTTCTTGTCATTATTTGTAACACACTCTCCAAATCATCATAATAAAAACATATCTTCTGGAATTGCGAACCTCAATTGAAGTCGGATTTGAACCAGTGCCATGTCTTGTCATGTCATTATAGGCCTAATAATGTAGAAAGCGGCACAAATTGAATTTTCAGTGTTTGTGTTCAACGGACTATATTTGCTAACTTGGCAAAAGCAACATTGATAAAACAAATAGCATTTGAGAGCTGAATATCCGTGGTTTAACGTTTTATAAGCATTATGAAATATTGTGTAATATTCCAAGGACACAGAGCCCGTTTCTGCTTGCAGCATTTTTGGGGGGTTACCAGCAAAAAGTATGTACATTGCTTTATGGCGTGTCAAACGTTGCAATATTCAATGTTTTACAATATATATGTTGGATGTTCAATATGTGTGTGTTATCTTTTACATTTATGTGCGATTTTCAATATAAGTGTGCGATGTTTTGCATTATGTTTACGATGTTTGATATAGGCTACATGTATGTGTGCGATGTTTTACATTATGTGCAATGCTCAATATAAGTGTGCGATGTTTTACATTTATATGTGCAATATTTGACGATATATATGTGCGATGTTTTCAATATTATGTTCGATGAGTGCTTGGCATTAAATATGCGATGTTTTTCGATACAATTGTGTGTAATGTTTTACAATATATTTGCGATATTCTCACACATGTGAGCAATGTTTTACAACTATATGTTCGACATTTCGAGCAATATGTATTCGATATTTCATCGGTATATTTGTATTCAATCTTTTGCAATATGCATTTGATGTTTCACTTTTCATTTGATGTTTTGTCAAGAGTCACACTCTGGTTACTAGACCGCGAAAGTCTGCCTACGAAGATATTTGTTTAAACTTGACGATATTAATATTCAGTACAACTAGTGAAGTACCAATTTAGGCTTATTCCCAAGTTGCACTCTTTGTTATAGTACAAAATGTCGAATATCCGATCGAGTGTTGTAAATTCGAGCTGGGATCGGCACCGAGAGGGATTAAGACCATGATGTAATACGGCCGATACCGACTACAACCACAAACAAGTTAATATGTCTGAAACATTTCATCATTATGATGGGTGCGTGTTGGGAGAGCACTGTGTTTTGGTAAAAACCCCAGTCCGTTTGTTATTTTTGCAATATTTTCCCGTCCAAAACAATAGCTGAACCCGCTATCGGCCGCGGCGGTGTGCGGGGCGCAACGAACGGCACGTACAGGCACTCTGATCAGCGGACCGCGCCTGTCAGCACCGGCCGGGCACTCTCATCTCTGGATCTGGCCCTCGGCCTCAGAACGTGGCCCTTCCCAACCCGATTGCACTGTGAATTTAAAGGACTTTCAAAAAGCCGGATCTCCGTTTTTAAATTGGGCTGAGCTTGTCAGTGCGTCGATATTTTTCGGGGCAGGATTCTCTTTCATTCCCCTTTCGTATGTTACTTTAACACACACACACACCCACACCTTCTCAAATTTGTATCCTTGTGGAGACATTCCTTTGTTCTCGTGTAGTAAAGTGTTCAATTTTGAAAGTGAAGTTTCAAAATGCTCTTATTTTAACTAGAATTAGTTTCCTTGGCTGAAATTTGGACTTAATATCCCTTTTCTAAAACTCTTTCATTTGCGACCGATCAACCCACCTTGGAAATTCCTAGTTTTTGAGTAAAACGCATATATCTATTTCATGAAAACCTTGTGGAGACCTATTCATCTATATAAATTGCCCTGTGGAGACCTTTACAATGTTTTGTTCCCTATTGTGTGTGTGTCTCCACAAGGATACGAATTTGTAGTCACCCACCCACCCACACAGACTTACGTTATATACCTTGTGTGGACATTGCTTTGTTTTCGTGTAGTTAAGAAAACTCGGTACAAAAAATAACTTTACTTAAACTGTGAAAACTCTTTTAACCCAATTTTTTTTCTATGATTCCCTATAGTGTTTCTCTTCATTCTGCTACATATAAACCTAACCCCAAAATGCCTCTAAACCTGTTTTCCAGAAAGGGCAAAACGTTATGTGGACACGGCTAAGTCCACATAACGTTAACACAACCTGCATTATGTGGACATCTTTTGTTCACAAGTCCATATAGGGAATATAAGACAAACTCACACCGGTACACCCAAATTGTCTGTTTAAAGATGGAACAAATTCATTTCAAAGCTGGAGATCCGTTATTCTGATGAACGATGTATGTAAACAATGTTTTGCCTGGATTTTAACCTCAATGTCAAATTGGTTGGTCGGAGACTGTTTCGATACCGAATTATTTGGGGCGCTAATAAATTGAACTTTAAATGTGCCTTAATCATCTATCGAATCTGGACATTTCTGAAATAAGCGATGGAACAAAATCGTCTGACTGAATTACTGGTTTTCGTTTCACCCAATGGCAGTGAATGTTGAAAAAAAAGCCGAATCTCTGTCTCATCATAAAATTAATCGGGCTGGGTTTACCAATGCACCAATTTTCTCAAGGCGCTTATACATTCTTTTTCTGTCCCCTTTCGTAAAATGATTTAACAACAAATTAAAATTGCTGTCATTAAATGACGGACCAAAAATGGGTGTTTAAGTGCCTGGATGTAGGCTCGATGTGAAATGAGTTGGGCTGAAACTGTTTTGATACCGAATTATTCGCAATTCGGGGCGCTTATAATTGAAGTTTGGATGTCCTTTCTCTATGCTTAACCCATCTATCGATTCAGTGAAATTTTGCAGACAGTGATGTTTTTCTTTTCTGTGTCGGCCGTAAAGGTCTCAATCCCTCTCGGCACAACGGTAATCCTCCCGGCTCGAATTTACAACACTCAGATATTCGACATTTTGACATTTTGCCCTTTTGTACTTAAACTGACTGAGAGTGTAACTTGAGAAGAATTCTAAATATGTATACTTCACTCCTTGCACTAAATATTAATCCGCAAAGTTTTAAAAAGAGAACATCTTGAAATATCCTCAGTCTCTCACCATAGAGCAAGGAAGCCCTCGCGTGTGCCACTTTATTAAAGCCAACGAATTCTGTAACTCTGCTTATCTTTAATTGTTTATACAACACTCGGTGGGCTGTTTATTCTAGAATTACGACGAAACTGCAACCGGTACTGCGAGCGCAATGCTAGCACTTATGTGTAAATAAAGGCTGGTTTTGGAATCGTCATGGGCTCATGACATGCGGGCATTACGGATGATACATGTACATGTACATGTACATGTACACGAACATACAATGTACAAAATGCAAACACATGCAGCTGGCGGTGTAGCGTGAATATCTGACTCCATGAAATGTGGACTCATTGGTAGTAGGCCCTACTGCGCACGCGTGAGTACGATACTATGCTATTTTTAGGATCGTTTCGGGCGAGTGACCTGTCACGTGCGAGGGATCAACCGATAATAGGGAAATAGGGGTCCGATTATCATAGGAGTCGGATTTTCATGTGACAGGTGGTACTGCCCAAACAATAAAGACTGCTTTGCGCATGATCCGAGATTACCAACAATTCCAATTGTTACCGTTTAGGTCTGGCTCTAATCACTTTACACGATCCCCTGACGTCTCATACACTGACTTTAGGCAAAATAATCAGATTTTCGCGGTCTAGTAACCAGACTGCGACCCTTAAAGAAACATCGAATGTAAAGTGAACATCAAATGTACATCGAAAATATATAGGCCTACAGTAAAACATTACATTTTGCAACGTTTGACACGCAATATGGCTTGTGACGATATTTCCCTGCCGATTTTTGATTAGCACATAATACTGGTCATGCGATACTTTGTCCTTATTATATCCGCCTAATTTGGAAGTGCAGCCTCTCCCAGGTGTAATACTTGTGGCAGGTTGTCAGTTTTTGCTTAGCTCATAAATTTGCTAAGCAGTATTTTATGCTCAGCATGTTTGATTATCTGCTTCCTCTGCAGCCACGAACGGGGCTGCAGTCTGGTGTAATGCTGGAGCTAGTGAAGCCAATCCGTGGATCCAAGTCGACCTCGGTTCCAATGCAACCATCACTGGCGTTATCACCCAGGGGCGCGCGGACTATCACGACTGGGTGACGGAGTTCAAAGTGGCCTACAGCGACGATGGCCAAGAATGGACTACCGTCACCGATGATGGATCATGTAGGCCTACACCGATGAAGGTAGTCCGATCGCATTGTTCAATTTGCCCTTTCACCGATGTAATTTCATAAATAACGTATACTCAGTGTTGTCCGAGAGTTTGAGATAAAATTTACAAGCTTTATACTCAGTCGCTTGGGACTCAAACCCAAGACCTCCTGTTTACAGGTGCTGGCGTTGGATTGAAATTAATCTGGATAAGATTCGAACCAGCCACAGACCCAGGCAACCTTGCTGGTCGAGTGGAAAGACATTCGCACTAGTAAGCACATTGTCATGGGTTCAAGTCCCACCCAAGTAAACACCTATCCATCACCACTCTTGAATTTAAAAGTAAATGAAAAAAATATATATACTATAAGAAGGGAAAAACGCCAACATGGGAGTTGTTGTCAGATCGACTTATGTTTTCTTCCAACCATATTCCAATCAACAAATCTGTTGTCTTGCCTCAGTGTTTTAAATACTTTAATTATTTTACTGATTCTACAAAGCCCTAATTCTATGATTATGCATGCCGTAGGACGAGGGCTCCCTCTATCGCTCCTGCTGAAACCGTGTGACTGCAAGGGAAAACTCATCCCCATTAACCTTTCAACGCTGGTATAAAAATCGTGTTCATATTGTTTATTCCACAGTTCCCTGGAAACTCAGACCAAAACACCCACGTGACCACCACTTTCCCGAGGTCTTTCCAGGCCAGGTTCCTGCGTATCCTGCCTACGAAGTATCATCGATTCTGCTGTATGCGCTTTGAGGTCCTCGGCTGCACACTTAATGAGTAAAGTCCATCGATGCCAGCTTGAGAAAACCTAGCTCTAGTGCTCGCTGCAAATTTGATAAATGGGAGCAGGGATGTATATGTCATAGATATGAGACTTGTGTTAAATTTTAAGAATGATTCAGTCAAAACATAAAGACACCTAGGAACATGTGCAGTTACCCAGAATCGTACCTAGCGATTTAACAAGAAAATCCTCGCTCAAAAGGAAGATAGCACTGCAATCATTCGGAAGAAACAATCTTTGAAAGTGATTTTATAAATTACCCTACAGGCTCAGTTTTGTATGTGCGTTGGCAACGGAATTTATTTACGAGACGCCAACAAATTGGGCATTTGTTCTCAAAATATCTAGTATCCACTGAGCTGCAAATTCAACCAGTTTCATTTGTTGTGCACCCTTCTCATGATTTTGAGCGATTTTGTTGTTAAACTGAAAACAAATAAGGGCTATGATGGAGGGAGCGGGAAGCAGTCTAAAGGTTAACCCAGGTTTAAGACGTAGACTTTTCCGCAGTTTTGAATTTGTCAAATTTTCCAGTGAGCTTTAGAGGCAGGAGTTTCCCATGCTACATTGATACCGGAAAAAGAAATCAGTTGGATTAAAAACAAAATAATGATAAACAGAATTTAAATTTACCTTTTTTCGAGTTTTTTTGCTAAGAATATTTTAGATTCTTAGTGGTACAATCTGTAATAAAATACAAAAAAATAAGAATATTTTAGACTCTTAGTGGTACAATCTGTAATAAAATACAAGGGCATATAATTACGTAATATCATTTTTGCATGTAGAAAAATAATAGTAAAAGGGATATTTTTGGAAAACCAGCTAGAACATGAAATTGTTTCACTCAAACTACAAAACTCTTAAAATTTGCACTTTTGGCTGGTTGCGATCTTTTGGGCTCTAAAAACGCACTTCTCACGAAATAATAATCATTGGAAAGATTAGTGACAAGTGGAATACAAACGTAAACACAATATTACTTTAAAAAGTGACAGTTTCGTTTTCAAGTTGAAATTCAATGGCTTTTTTTAGCATGAATCTCAGTAACTGGTAGAAATTCCTTAAAAAAAAACAATTGTAACTGGAAATGTTCCTTAGCAAATTGTTTTTTTTTTTTTTTTTTTTTTTTTTTCCCCTTTCCTTCAAGTTTAGAAGTGGTTAAAGGTAATCGACACCATTTGCAAACACTCAAACATAAAACTATCAAAATATCATGATTTATTCTACTTAATTTTCAGAAAATAAAAATATATAAAGCATCCTGTGAAATAATTTCCGCCCAGTATTCTTTCTGTTTCCAGGCAAAAAATAACCATCGATGGTTAGGACCAAACCTTCAAACGGTCAACAAAAACATGCTTTGCGTGAGAAAAAAAAGATGCGTTGTTACAGTTTTCTCAAAAGTATGTCATCTATTGTGCACAATTTCGACATTTTCTTCTTTTTTATTTATAACCTGCTTCAAATGTATTGTTGATTGTTTCTTGAAAAGGCAAATATTACCTTTTTTTCTGCAAATGGTGACCATTACCTTAAAGCCAATTAAATTAATTGAAAATTTAGTCAGAGACACGATGGAGAAAGTTTGGCATATCACGGCACAAGCCTTTTCTACCACGTCTCTTTTCTGTGTTAAATGTATATTCATTCAATAAAAGCACTTTAGATAGAGTGTAAGCGTGCACCTGCAGTATCGTTTTTAGATATCATTTCTTACTGTCAGTTATCTTTTAAAGTGTCTCATGACCTGACATGTATCTGTTTAGACTAAAGTTGTGCTGGTCCCAGAGGGCCAGCCTATACTTTTTAGCACTTATCTAGCACACAGGCACGCACCCACCGACTGGACCGGGCCGGACTGTCTTTTGTGATTTCGACTAGAATATCAAGCCCGACCCGACCCAACCTGACTGATCTGAATTGACCTGACCTGAGCTGAATTGAACTGACCTGAACTGACCTGACCTAACTAACCTCACCGACTGTCTAAGATTTAGACTTGAATAAAACCAGACCCAACCCGAACTGACCTGACCTGATTGGCCGGCTCGACCTGATTGACCTGACCTGACCTGACCTGACCTTACCTGAATGACCTGACCTGACCTGAAGTAGCTGGCCTGACTGACTGTCTCTTGTGATTTAGACTTGAATAAGACCGACCCAATCTGACTGACCTGACCTAACTAACCTGACATGACCTGACCTAACTGACCTGACCTGACCTGACTGACAGTCTCTTAAGATTTCGACTTGCATAAGCCCTACCGTGGCCCGCAAACAAATGACTAAGGTAACTCCTTAGACCCCTGAGCCCAAGTCCATCTCTGGGAACATCTTTACTAGACGTGCCTAGTCTTGCTTTCTTTCGTGGTTGTTGCAAACCAAATTTGAGCTAACGGTATAAATTAGCCCCCCCCCCAAAAAAAAAAAAACAATAATAATAATAATAATAATAAAATTAATAAAAGTTGCACAATACCTACAAGCACTTTCTGACTAGATTCCATAAAACATTTCCCTGTGAAACTCGCACTGATGAAATTAAAACAACGTGAAATTTAACAATATTCTAGATGTCAAATATGTCTGCACTGACATCAAAAATCTTAGAAATTAAAACTCCATACCCAGAAAACTAACATGACTTAAAACTACTGCAAGTATACATCATTCCTTTGTCCACCGTCAATCATGCAATATGCATAGTCTAGCTGTCGCAGCGGTAGAGGGCGTTATCAACAAAGCAATTGGTTAGTTCTCATCACCATATCTCGGATTGATTGATAGGGGAGATTGGGAAGCACATGTGATAGTGAGCGATTTAAATACGGAGTGTCCTGACACTACAATTTCCTTGAATTATATATATGTCATTCTTTCACGGTTCCGGTCAATATTCGAGATTCTTGTATCACATAGTATGGCAAAATATTGGACGAGATTTCATTTCAATGCAAAGTGTTTATTTCAGTTCGGATTTCGTCTTTACAATAACTATGTTTATATCGTTAATGGACAGAAGTCGGCTAGCGGTGAGCAGTGCTTATATAGCGCGCCCTCTTTTGGAAGAAATTGATGATACAATACAGAGTGTCCTAAAATGCAATTTCCTTAAACTATAGTAGAGTCATTCTTCCGCCGTTCCTGTCGATTTTCGAGATTCTTGTGTCAAATATCATGGCAAAATATTGGAGGTTAAATATTCTATATATTAGGGAGTTCTGAGAGCCATGGAATTTGGAATTTTTGAGTATTTCCGAGTATATAATATAGGTTTAATTAAATGCTAATTGCTTATTAATTTTATTTTAAATGAGTTGATAATTAATATTCATTGCTTTCATTTAGAAAACTTGAAATTGAACGACGTTTTGTGCAACAAATATACTCGGATCGTATGGGGCGAACTTTTTGCTGCGCCATGTACAATTTTGAATTTGACGACCGTTACCGAGATTTTTCAAAACTCGGTCTTCATTCGGCTCTGCCTGCTAACAGTGCTATTTGGGTGCCTAATTTTGAAGATTCCAGATCAACATTAGTCAATGTTATCTTACAGAAACATCAAACTGTATTATCATAACCGTATGATATTACGAAGCAAGTGATTTATTTAAAAATTTGAACAGAACATTAAAAGCCACAAGCGATAAAGCGAAATCGGAAACGAAGCCGAGCTTTGAAAAAGGGCCATCAATGTCGTCATGTTTATTTTTGCCACGGAGGCTGCCTGACCTAAGATTCATAATATAAGGAATAGTCAGAATCTTTTGGTCTGGGAACCAGACTAACTGCATTTTTGCCAACCACGGTTTGCAAAACTATGGAAGGTTCAACCCTGCAAAACTTAAGAAGAGTTTTTACAGATAACCAAAATATAATATGAGTGTTGGAAATACAACATTGTCTACAAAGCTAAAACATAATTCCTAAACATGCCTTTTTACTTTGTATTGAGGGCGTTACGGGGTCTTTTTTTTTGGGGGGGGAAATATGTTGCAAACCACGGTTTTAATTTATGCACTTGCGGCAGCCCATATAAAATGGCGCCAATGTTTACAAACAAAAGAAAGGTCTATAGGGTAGCAGACCAGTAAATAAACTTCCATAGACGCCTATGGTAAATGCTCCCACTTCAGAAATTCGAGAAAAATACTCACAACTCTCCAAGGTGTTCGAAACACACATCAAATAAAAGCTTATTGCATCATCTTTCATTTTCTTTTCAATTTTTTTTTGGGGGGGTCAACTGATGATTTTTATGAGAAATTTCCATCTGAAAATGATCACCCCTGAAAAAAGTCCTGAAGCCCATCGCCATTTTGAAAAACGATGCCTACACTCCATTGCAAAATAGAGCGCTTTTTGGGTCCAAATTACATCCAAATTACACAGAACTGCAAGTTCCCAATCCTGTGCACAGCTTCCACCCATATTTTTTACAAACCCTCAAGTTCATGGCCCACAGCATGCTAAAATACTGAAGATTTTGAGGGCATGCAAATCGTGATTTGGCCGGCGTAGGCAATTTCGGACCGATTTACTGGTCTGCACCCATAGTGCAGCAACCGTGGCCAAGTTCGGGCTAGGACCATTAGTCGACTAGTGGTTGATTTGTGACGTACCTTACGCCTGCGCACTAATAGCAACGTGCGAACGTCTCTAGTCGAACGCTGGTCAAAATGTCATCGCAAACCTTCTGGATCCCAGCTCTCTGCTAGCGTTATGGAGGCTGGTTCCAAATAGTCGACTAGCGTAGTCAACCATCGTCGACTAGACAGAGTTCGGGCTAACGTTAGTTAACCATTGGTCAACTATATTCCTTGCGAGAACTTGGCCCTAGTTGACGCTTTGCGGAGACCACTATTTATATGGCGCGCCCTATATTGAACGAAACTTAAGTAGGCACGTGCGCACGTTCGTCTCGGTGCGAGACTACTAGTTTTATTTAGCGCGCCCTTTCTCGAAATAAACTTTTAGTTGTTGTTTGACGGTTTCTCGCGAAATCGAATCTCCCTATCTCCCTATGTCCTGATGTAACACATCAAGACCGATCACTGACCGAACTTTACAACTTAATACAGCTGGGCCTATATGCCCGGATTATTGCTCAAACAACGAGTGTGTTATAAAATTTGTCCATGGGCGTTGACTTTTCTTTTTCATTCGATTTGTATTTTCCGCATTTAAAATACTGTATTTGTTTCGGTCATAATATTTGTTATTGTTTACCATAAAATTAAATTCCACACACAGTCATCATAAGAAATCACTTTATGAAATTTTAATTTTGCAATACAGAACAAATTCGTTAGGGGCAACAACTCAAGAAATACTAGATGTATTGAAATTAAAATTGGCAAACGCCTTGGAAATCGAAAGTGGAAAGTATTTAAACAAAAAATGTGGAGGAAAAGTGTAATTATCTCTTCGGGAGTCGATTTAAAGGTCTGATACCTAGGAGTGCACCCGTGTTAATAGAAAAACATTCCATCCGCCGAGCTCATGAATAAAAGTTATACACTCAAATTCTTCTATGGAATTCTTAGCGCCATGGAATTAGGAAATATAAGAGATATGACAAAACGCCTCTGGCCCGGGCTTGGGACTTCCAATTCAGAGCATTTGGGTGATCGGGCCCGAAGATGGCGCTATTTAGCCATGTTATAGATAGATCCGTTTTCAAGATGGCTACCTTTCCACTTAGGGCTGGAAAGAATCACTCGTTTTTGGGGTCGTCTTTTTTGGGTTTGAATGTATCGAAAAAGTCATTATGTCAACCCACCAAAAATTGAAAAGAAAATGAAAGATGACATGTTGCTCATCATTTTTCTGTGAAGCCTAAACACCCGTGAGAGTTTTGAGTAGTTTTTAAAAGAATTTTGAAGTATGGGTATTTATCACTGTTGTCTGTTGGAATTTATTTGATTGGGTGCACCGCTACTGGTCTAGCACCAATGCCCACTTTAATTTTCTTTCAATAGAGGGCGCGCCACATAGATAGTGGTCTCGATATCCACCACCAAACTCGTTTTTGGGGCAACAACTCAAGAAATACAAGATGTATTGTTGAATTATTGTCTTTGTTTAATAAAAGTGCAGCATCCGTGTGGAGACCACTATTTATGTGGCGCGCCCTCTATTGAACGAAACTAGCTCAATTAGGCACGTGCGAGACCACTAGTTTTATTTAGCGCGCCTTTTCTCGAAAGAAACGTTTAGTTGTTGTTTGACGGTTTCTCACGAAATTGAATCTCCTTATGTAAAACATTAAGACCAATCGCTGGCCGAACTTAAAACTGAATACAGCCGGGGCCTGCATAGGCTCGGGTTATTGCCCAAACAACAAGTGTGTTATTTTGTCCATGGGCGTTGACTTTCTTTTTTTATTCGGTTTATATTTTTCGCGTTTAAAATACTTTATTTGTTTCGGTCATGTTATTTGTTATTGTTTGACGGTTTCCCATAAATTAAATCTCATCATGTTACACAGTCATTATGACTAATCAATGAACGAATTTTTTACTTTGAAATACAGAACAGACTCGTTTTAGGGCCAACAACTCAAGAAATCTGAAAATCGGTCATTCATTTTCGTCTGAATTTGAATGCATGCCTTTAATCCCATTTCAATTCAATGAAAGTTGAAACGTTTTCATTGTCCATACATTTGGTTTTGAGAAACAGACGGCCAATAACGTTACCTGCATGTGCAATCAATTACGCAAGCATTTATCTTTAAGCGCAGAGTTCTGGAATCGAAAGGCGCTGCTCAATCACTTAATTGATTGAACTGAAATGGAATCGAATGCTCTGGTAGCGAAAATGAAACGCATGTTCAGAGCGATTCTTAAATTCATATGAAAACGAATGACCAATTTTCAGAGGTGAATGAACATATTAGGAAATTGACTGGGAAAATCCGTCCGCCGAGCTCATGAATACAAGTTATACACTCAAATTCTTCTATATTTAATAAAGGGTTCTAAGAGCCATGGAATTGAGAAATTCAAGAAATATGGCAATGCACCTCTGGCCCAGACTTGGGGCTTCCAATTCAGATCATTTTATGCAGGACTATCATAGGTCTGATTCCCGCCCCCTGAAAACAAAATCACAAATGTTAGCGCGGAACCAGCCTATGTGCAATGTGCAGTTTGTTTGGTGATAAGTTTCGATTTTCGCTGATTTCGAAAGTGTCTCTGGCAATTATCAATAAAGAGATAAAAAGAGGGGCAGTACTTTTGAAACCTATGCAGTTGAAGTGTGCTTAAATGTTGCCTTTGTGGAGACACTGGCGATTTTTTTTCTGCTGGTTATGATAAGAGTCAGTTTTTTAGATAAGCCATGTGTTCAACTGTCGTCCATGATGTAAACATCATTTTTCAAAAAAAATAAATTATCATGCTGCGCACGCGCAGAGGTGATCCATAGCTAACGGTCCCCATATTATGGGAGCGGGAACCAGTCTAGTCTTCCCATGGGCCTCCCTCACCGCAAGGCTCCTGTGCCATGAATATGCATTAGCGTTAATATTAATCGTAGTAGCCAATTATCGTGAATCAATGAGCCTGGCTGACCGGGCGTAATGCTGAATCGCACCCGATAGGCCTATGATTAGTGCGTTGAATGTACCCGGCAAAACGTGTATTCTGGTGGTGAAATATCTACATTTTGAAACATTTGTCATCTGGATTTCGAACCCAGTAAAAAAAAACCGGACTAAATTCTACTGGGAGGAAGTAACCGAGCCTGTCATCAGGATGCGGCGTCTTGCCCTGGCGGCACTTGTTGCTTGCGTCTTTGGTAAGTCGCCATTATTTCACCTCAATTTTTTTTTCTCCCAGCATTTGACTAGTTTTATTGTCTCGTTATTCCAGATGATGACGTTCACCCTAACCTCAGCTTAATCGCTTGACGTGTTGTGTTTTCTAAAGGCACTTCATTTCCGAACCAAACGAATTTGTATAGGAAAGGAAGGCAAGAACTGTTATTAGGGTTGGGAACGAAGTTAACATTATTTGAATACGTCAAAACTCACAAATTGATAAACCTGGGCATTTCCATAGGCAGCGACATGACACCTTCAATTTTATTGTATATTTTTTTTAGTATTTTAGTAAGCCATGAATTACAATTCGTTTATTACGGGCCGATAAATTGTGATTGACCATAATGTTAATGCCAGTAATAATCACTCTCTTGAAGACGGTCAGAGCATACTGACCGGAACGTCGCGTATATACCTGTTTTTTTTTTCAGAACCATTCTCTTAGTTGAGAAATTATTTCCACATGGTGTTTCTGCAAACTTTTCATTCATTAGTATCTCCACCATGCATGCAAAGCCTCAAATCTTACTCATAATGCCAGTGAAAAGACTGTAACTGCGCTGAAGCTGCTTTCGGCAAAGTGCAGCACCAAGACATTATTTTTTTTTGCTTGAAACTAGGCCAATTCGTGAATGACATTAAAATTAAAACAAATCGGATTTATTTGATTGATATTCAGATTTCTTAAATTTAAATCAGATTTTTATTTTTTAATTCAAAATATTGATATGTCTAAAATGTGTCTAAAAACTCCCCATGCACCCTTACACCCATCACTAAGGAGTTTACAGGTTCCTATAATACCCATCATTCAAAAAACTCAATTGATAAATGCTTTTGAAAAAAAAAATCAGAGATAAACTAGAGATTCGCGTTTGTTGTTACAAACGCAGAGTGGTCTGGTAGACAACTATTTTAGGAAACACTGTCCAGTTAAGTTATGCATATTTTTGTGTAAGAACAAAGTATCAGGAAATTAAATCCTTTCCAGGACAATCAATTAAATTTCAGTAAACATTATATGTACACATACAAGTCATTTCTGGCTTGATAACGTCATTAGTCAAAAACGGGAAGTGATTACTGATTTAGTTCTGAGTGGATGTTCATTGTGAAGTTAAATAACGTATGAAAATTTGGAAACTATAAGTGTATGTATTCATAACACCGAACTTCCGGTTTGATGACGTCACAGTGTTTGGAAGCAAAAGGTGAACATTGTAATGGTATCGTTATTTGGGCTAAGATATACAACATGAATCAAATGATAGAATTAAATTTAAAATATGATCGTTGGCAAATTCTCATAAAAGTAACTTCCAGTCTGATGACGTCTTGGGTTTGAAACCTTGCCAAGTTATCTGTGGTTAATCAAAGAATATCAAGGATCGATTTTGTAAAATTTGAACCCATGGTTTTAAAAGTAAAAAAAAGAAACAATATGTTATGTGTCGCTAGGGGGCGCTCTTTCGGATGATGACGTCATCACACTGTTTTTTGTGTCTGGCATTCCTCACTAAACACTTTTATAATATATGAGTCTGTAGTAAAATGCTTCCGCTTTTGAGTTATATTCAGTTTTTATTGCACTTTCGGTAACACTGGAAGTAAAGGTCAAGCGGTCTGAGAACACAAAATGTTTCTCACGGCATAGTCTACAACCTCACCAAATAACGAACACGATACTCTATTTATTTCAAAAGATATAACGCAAACTATTTTGTAAAAATTTGCCCTTACATCGCTTGTAATTTGATGCCTGATGACGTCATGATGACGCAACAAAATTTATAACATCTTCGTAACATGGTAATGTCAAGAAATCTCTCCAGGCAGCCATTTACACTGCCGTCAGTACCGCCAGACCAAATTGGCAAACTGTTCGGTGCCGACACAGAGTATTCGAGGATGCTTTTTGAAGGGAAAAATCAGTCCGCTAGTTTGTCAAATCCTGCTGACACACAGAAGGAAGCTAATGTTCCCGCTGATCCCCTGTGGGTGATTTTTGATCCGAAACTGAAGCGCTTGGTTTTTTTTCTTTGAAGTTTGTTGGTTCTTATCTAAGTTGGCCATGCACCTACATTCATCTCCTCTGATTAATTCAGTGAACCTAGTTTTAAAAATTGGGTCAAACTGCAAATAGCCACGGCGATGTCCCATACCAACCATTATTTCTTCAGTACCGAATTTAAGTGATTTCACGTGCAGTGCCTTGATGTCTTGGGTCAAATCTGGACAAAATCTATATCATGAGAAACTGCAATTATTTTTTCAAGAAAGATCTGGATTTGCGGAAAGTTTCGCTTAAGTGTTGGGAGGAACTTGTTTCAGAAGTTATGTTATAAAACTCTTGTGACACTAGGGTTGATTGCAAGGAATATTTTTTAAATAGGTCACTCTCTGAAATTGAACTTCTGGCCCCAAATGTTCCGGCGTTTATGGAATTCCTCATAATAGCTTCTATTTTCAGGGGCCTCTGGACACCATTAAAACAACTTCAGTACTGATCCCTAGATTTTGCAACATGATGTACAAGTTCAATATAAGGCAATTATTATTCATTGCCGCTATAAAAAGTGCAGCACCAGCCCAGAATTGAGGCGATCGGGGGGCTAAATTTGCAAAAACAATCACGAATGGGTATAATGCAGTAATTGGGAGATTAGTTGTGTTCTTGGAGACACAACACCGGAATTTAATGTTCCAGGCTAATTTGTGCGGGGGTCGGTTATTTCACCAAGTTAATTGAAATTCACCGGTGGCGTCATTTGGCATTGTCATGCATGTGGTAATGGGGCGTCATACATGTAGTGGTGACAATGTCCAATTACATGTATTGCTTTTATGTGACATCTGTGAAGGCTCTCAGGCATGACTTCACGTTGTTATATGCCTTTACTTTGTAGAGAGCATTGTGATAACTTAATTGGTAGGCAGTGGGCAGTGAAATGTTTTCAACAAAGACGAAGGAGCTTCCTTAGTGTTCAGGGTTTTTTTCCTCCAATATCATAGTTCATGTTAAGAGCCCGTAGACATAAATTTTGTTTTGAGATCATGACGACTCCACAGAAAAAAAGAAAAGAAAATCTGGTCACGAGCATCCATAGAGGGGGGGGGGGTCCTTGAAATGGGTACATTGAGATTCATCTGCTTCAACTGACTTGATATATCTGAATTATTGAATAGCAATGCTAAACACTAATACCGTCACCGAGACTAAAATGTCATTTTATCAAAATGCGGGTAGCAGAGGCGATTAATGGTTGTGTCTCTTGTTCAGCGGACGGCGGTACCATGAAGGACGAATAAAAAAGTTCCATAACAAGCAAAAGTAATACACAAGGAGAATGCAAGAAAGCCACACCAACAAGATATAAAATAATACAAAATAACACAAAAATATGATCTATGAAGACAAACAGGTAGTACAAAGGATTTAGAAGGAATGTTGCAGAACAGTATTGACAAGAAAAGACAATTTGATAAGCGATGAAATTCTGAGTTCAAGAATTCGAGTACTTGTTGAGAAAAATCTGTTCGAAGTTGGTTTTGAAAGTAGAAATAGATGACGATTTTTTTATTGTATTGTCTAGAGAGTTTCACAATTTTTGCCCTTCAAATTTAACACTTTTTTTGGCTAGAGCTGTCCGTACAAATGGTAAATAAAATTCGGTGGCCTGTCGAGTTAAGTATCCATGAAAGTCCCTGTTTCTGTTAAACATGGACGAAATGCAGTTCGGTAGATCATTTATTTTCTTAAATGAAACATAAAGATAGCGAGTTGGAAATGGTATATGTCGTTTACCTTGAGTGTGTTATCTAGTAGAAAAGGCGGGTCAGAGTGAGCTAGATAGCTGGTAAGATTTGTAATTCGTAGAGCCTTTTTTTGGAGTAAAACTAGTCGATTCATTGATTTTTGAATACAGTTTCCCCAAGCTAAGATTTCCGTAATGAATATATGACAATATTAAAGTATTGTACAGGGATAAAATGATATATTTAGGTATATAAAACTTGAGCCTATTAATAATACCAATGTTTCTAGAAATAGTTTTACATATATAATCGATGTGGGTGTTCCAAGTTTAATTTAGCACAATCTGTTACAGTAATCTTGTTGTTATCGATGAAAATATCCCTTGGTAATGAACGTAAAGAATTACTAAACATCATTCACTTAGTCTTTTTGACATTTAAGGAAAGTTTGTTTGCTTTTATCCAGTCTGATATCAGAACAAGGTCAGTATTAACAATGTCAATCAAATCATTATTTTTTTGTTACTATAGAATACATTTGAATTTTCGGCGAATAAGATACACGACAAACGTTTTGAGACATTAACTAGGTCATTTATATAAACAAGAAATAGTAGTGGTCTTCAGGTTGTCTGGCACAATACCATGCAGACAACCTGAAAAAAGTAGGCCGACATGTAAAGAGGGTACATTGAATATATCTAAATTATAGCATTGGTAGAGACTAATACCCGACACCGAGACTGAAAATGACATATTTTATCAAAATGCAGCGAGTGGAGGAAATTGATGGTTGTGTCTCTTTTGTTGATGTTCATAAAATATGCACAGCTTTAGCTCGTTTATTTCCATTTCTACATTCAGCGGTACAAAGAAGGATGAATAATGATTCCATTAGAGTTATTTTCAATGAAAAGGTATTGTTGCTGTGACGCGAAGCGTGCGGCAATGATCATCTTTGGAGAAGCTGATAGAAAGCTTGACGAATCGGTATCGGCTGAACATCCAACGCGTGATTCATTACAAGTAAATGGCCATCCTCTTTACAAACCAACAGTGCGTTAAATACGTGCTGCACTACACGTACAGTTATGTAAAGGCTAAATGCATACACCGAGCCCGTGCTTACTTATTGTAATGTGCATACTTTTTAGGAACTGAAACGTTAAGCAGGGTAGCCTCATCGCTAATAAAACTAACATTCTTCAAAAAAACCCTA